AAATACATGTACGCTCCCATTCGGTAACCTGTAAAAGAAATAAAACAATTAATACAAAATAAAGCCAATACTTGGCGTAGACTTTGTTAGGATAATTCATTAAACGAATAAAGATTAACGATAAAAATCTGACGACCTTCTAGTAGCTTCCCCGGTGATTATTCTAGCAGTAAAATTTTAAAGGCAACCCCAAAAACAAAAATTTAAAATGTTTGTAACTTCGATATCTTTTACAATAGAGATATACTAAGGGCATAATTGTGATCCCATTACCAAGTAGATCAACGTACTAATCGATTAATTAATCAAAATAAGTACACGTCCTAATATGCTCCCGTATATAGTTCTAAAATAACAGTCCCTACTCACTAGAAGTATAAATATGATGCTAACAATCAAATTTACCAAACAAAAGTGTTGTAACTTCGAGATCTTTTACAATAGAATTATAAAAATAATATAATTATGATACCATGACCAAGTAGATCACCACACTAGTCGACTAATTCATCAAAAAAATGACGTCCAAACTTGGGTGAAAACGCTCTCGTATACATCTCTGGGATAATAATTCCAACATATTGGGTATATAGATGTAACCCCTCACGACGATAATATTTTATTTTCCATTGACCATCGATATACTGCTCCCAGTATAACCTATAAATTATAAAACCAAATAAATAATAGCTATGCACTAAATAATATCGCGATACTAATAATCGAAATACAAAACAAAATCGTATAACTAGTATCCGACTTAATATCGTCACAAGGATAACATAACAAATACAAGAATAATAAATGTTAAAATATTTTATAATAATATAATTTAAGTGCCATTGAATAATTACAAGATATATATATATTAATCCCCAACTAACAATGAATATTTAATAAATATCCTATGAAACTTGTAAAGACAAAATTATAAATAAAAACGTAAGATAATAACCAAAATTTAACAATTGATAAAACTAATAAATTATATGGTACTAATAATTCTCTATGATTAAAATTGAAATTGCTTAAATGCAAATAACAATAATAATAACAATAATGAATTTGCATAAATTTTAATAAGACTTACCCTTAGAAATAATAATATATCCTTGACCATCAACATTTTAATTCAGCACTGCTTGTTTTTCTTGCTAAACCTGTTGACACCTAAAAACAAATAAAAATGAACATATGTTCTTAGACCATAAATTAATAAAAATATTAACGATAAGAAAATTTCAGAAACAAAATTTTGGTAGTAAAATCTAGCTTCAAATTCTACAAAATAATTCTAACAATTATACATATGAACATATATATATATATATATATATATATATATGCATCCACTCTTATAACCAATAATAAATGAATAATAAGACCTTAACAAATAAAATGTTCACTTATAATAAGCTAATAACGAAATTTAACCAAATACTAGCGGCCCATAACACAAATAATAATTTAAAGTGATCTTACCTGAAAATCAAATAAGAATACCTTATATGACGAAGTCACATGACCCCCCTCCTGGATGCCTGAAAAATTAATGTAAAATAATATTTGGTCATAAGAATAATAAATTCTAACACGAGGCTGTCAATATTTTATAAAAATTTGCAAAGCATTAAGTATAACAAAATGGATAGCATCTATATGCTTAAGGCATATACACATGAGCCAATGAAAAGAAAGAAAAACCAACTAGCATAAATGAACAAAATAATATAAAATTTAGATTAAAATAATTAAAAAATCAGAATAAGGCCAATGAACATCATCAAAAATCAACCATGAACATTTACGATCACACTCTTCTATATATGAATGCATGTACCAAGCCTTATAAAATATTAACACTTCATATAAAAAGTTTTCAACTATAATAATCCCCCTTTTTCAAGTACTTTAATGACAAAATTTCATAATACCAAACCTTATTAAGTATAATTATGTCAGAATATTACTTACTAGTAAGTCTTCATATGACGAAAATATATGGACACCCTATATTCGTGTTCCTACTCACCGGGTACCCCCCTGGCAAAAGTATCGCCTGAATAAATAAAATAATAATATTAAGGATGGACACCTATAGCTACTATGAATATAAAATGTATATACACAATTGTAAAATGCACGAACATTTACATATGAGCACTCTTATACGTATATATATATATATATATATATATATATATATATGTACGTGCATATGAACATATGCAAATTTAATAATGTAAGACTAAAACCTTCCGAGAAACGAATAGAGCCCAGGTACATAATGTGCAAAATGACACTCGAAAAATAGAATCTAAATTCAAAAACTTTATTAAATAAAAATAAAAAATTACAACAATGAATATAATGACAGCAACTTCTTACCATGCATAATATACATATATCATTAAGTCAAAGGAAATAAAACGTGAAAACACGAGAGAAATAGAGAAATAATACGTGTACTTACGAATAATATTGCACAAAGAATATTATGCGTATAACTCTACGAGTCGAACAAGCGTGCAAGGCCAAGTCCAGCACGTCGCGTTATCTCCATTGGAATTTTTAAACATCCTCTCCCGACCTAAAGGCAGAGGGAAGATCTAAATTCGCGCTCGCATGAATGCAAACCAAATTAATACATCGACTTCTCTTTTATAATTAAGCATTAACAAAGCATTTTCTATTAATATCACACTATTATCCAGTATCATATACCTCTATATACATATATATGCATACTATATGTGACATATGAACTGACTACATATACACATATGCATACATATTTTATAACAAAATCCAATAAAATAAAAGTAGAGACGTAATAAACAATCGTCAGGACAAAAAATTAACAAATATTAATAGATAAAAATATACGCCTTTATATATATATGCATACTATATGTAACCTATAAATCGAATAAATTTACATATACGCATATATATTTTATAACCAAACTCAATAAAATAACGGTATAAATACAATAAATACGCGTCGCGATAGAAATTGACACATATATATATTAACATGTCCAGAAATCTCCCTATATATATATGCATACTATACGTAATATATAAATTGAATAAATTTACATATACGCATATATATTTTATAACAAAACTCAATAAAATAAAGGTATAAATACAATAAATAAGCGTTGCGATGGAAATTTACAAATATATATCTTAACTTGTCCAAAATTATCCCTATACATACGCATACTATATGTAACATACAAATTGACTAAATTTACATATACGCATATATATTTTATAACCAAATTCAATAAAATAACGGTATAAATACAATAAATACGCGTCACGATAGAAATTGATACATATATATATTAACTTGTCCAACAATATCCCTATATGTATATGCATGCTATATGCATATACATTTTGTAACAAATTTAACAATAAAACAAAGGAGGAGATATAATAGACTGCTACCGCGACAAAATTAATCAGCACACAAAACATATATATATATATATATATTACGAATATTAACAAATAATTAATATTAATAACCCCAAGATTTTATACAATAATTATTAATCTTATACGATGATTATTAAATACGATTCAGTAAAAACTTGCTGAAATCAATTTTCATAAGCAATATGCGAATACATATCTATACATATATATATATATATATATATATATGTGCTAATATAAAGGTCGCCCAAATGAAAATCTTCAAAGAATAAAATATTGTCAGAATCAAAAGACCTCTTGAATAAAAGATCACGGTAGAGCGTGCAATGAATTCTTCGAGCACATCCGTCGTGATCATTCTTAGAAGTAAAACGAGCCGCTTTTTCATACGTTGTTCCGAGAACTGTAAGAATAAAATTTCTTTTAGCGACATAATAACTATTAAGCGAAGCGATAATTAATTTCCATATATTCTTATTGTAAAATTTATTGTAATAATAATGGCTTAACGCATTAGAATTTATTAAAATATTATTCATAGACTTGAGTAATCATTAAAAGTCGACTTTGAAAATTTTAAAATATATACATATAAAACCACAAAAATTCTAATTGTTAAAGCCTTTATTAAATAAATAAAAATATATCTTGTAAATGATAAATCTTAATAATTAGTCTTAAGATAATTATTAAACCTGGAAATAATACGTGTAATATGCCAATTTAAACCACGTAAACGAATTTTAAAAGGTAATTCATTAAAAAATATTACTGTTACTAATGTGTCTTATAAAGAGAAAGAATGCAGTGAGCATTCTTCGAAGGACATCCAGCATATCTATTTTTAGAAAAAGAGATAAGCCATCTTCGCATCCGTTGCGTTAGAATCTGCAATCCAAATGCTAAATTTTTCTTTACTAATTATTACTAATTATTAATTTACTAAATATTAATTAATCACTAATTATTAATTTTAACTATATACGCACCATTGTAAAAATCATTGTAATAATAATGGTTTAATACATCAGAATTTACCAAAATATCACTTAAAATTTAAACAATTGTTATAAATCGAACTCAAATTTTCTAATAACATAAATACGATATTATAAAAAAATTCTGATTGTTAAAAATCATTATTAAAAATTATTCTAAAATTATTTAATAAATCTAAGACGCAAGACTTGCAATCCCTACCACAAAACTCTCACCCACCACATCGCAAACTCATAGCAGGAAGGGATAGCTCCAGCAGCCGACCCACCAATCACCAAAAAGGCCCACCTCTTCTCCCTACCATTAAACATCGAACCAGAGAAAGGTATATAAGGCCGCCGCCGCCGCCGCCGGTGTGTCTCTCTGCGCCATTAACTCGCCTGTGTCTCAGCTCTCTCTACGCCCATCAGATCTCTAGCTCTCGAAGAGGAAAAACCTAGAAGCCTACCGGACACCTTAACTTATTCGAAAATAACTTAGTCGCGATTTTGATTTTTTGATTTTTCTTTCGGGACTTAGTCTCAATCTCTATGAAGAGAGCTGTATCAACATTAACACTTTAATAAAGTGCTACCATCCAGTAACCTCTGAGTCTTTGGCCATTCTCTGCGCTGCCTTGCCACTTCTTCAGGTTCTCACCGAGGTCGAGCAATCCAGGGAAGGAGCAGCGGTGCCTTTATTCTTCCATTGATCCCGTCATCCGGTAAGGAAATAATAAAATAATAATCATTCTTAATCAACCTTGATAATAACCTCGTATATTAGGTTGATTTATTCTAAATATATTGACAATTTTCCCAGAATCTTACCTGTCCGTATACAGACTTTAAATTTTTCTTTCGAGTTGAATTATTTAAATTTCAACCGATCCTCTGAGAACGCTCGAAGCGTATCCTAGAGTGTAGCGTCGTTCGAGTTAGTCACTCGATGTGCATTGAGTAGCAAATTCTACTCCTCTGCCGCTTTCACGGAGAGCTTCTTTGCAAGAATTTCTCCGTGGATCCTGTGCCGCTGTGACGTGACGTCTTGCACATCGATACTAGACTCAGAATCTAAGACTCGCTCCTAGAGGATCTGTCGAAATAATAGAATTTATGCACTGGCTTACAAGTTAACTATCAAAACATTTTATGAATTTTATACTTATCTGAAGTAAGCCAGCCGCTCTTACCCGTATCCTTGTCTGTACCCCCTGAATCTCCGGACCTCGCGGTGCAACCGCATGCCCCTGAAAAATTCAAAATATATTAAATAAATCATTAATTGCTGTACCCCAATGAACTGTATATAGCCGAACGTTTTAACCATGATATGAGAACGAGTGAGATATACTATCATAATCTACATTCGTTTATCTCATAATAATCCGTTAAGCCGTATTATTCGTCTTAACTCTATGAACCACCTTGCTGTGACTACATTTACCATATAAAACCATTCATCTTAACAGGTACCTTTCTACGCATCATCGTAAGTAAACCCCTTTTGTGTTAAATCAATCGCATCAAACATACTAAATAGTCGTATTCCCTCGGTAGATGGTTAACCCCCGCCGAACTTCTTCCGTTGGACGCGAAATTTCCCTCCGTGCCGCGGGTATACGCCGCAGGCGTGCCTCCCGGTCGGTACTTAGGCTCCCTACAGCTCGTCAGTTGTTTGCCGACGAGAACGACTTAACAAGCAGAGTAACAAGGTACTCTCCAGTGCGTAGTTTCGCGCCCTCCCGCGCATACCCTTATCGTCCTCCCCGAAACCCTCCAGCGGTTCTTCAAGAGGAACAACAGCCCAGAGCCAGGCCGCCATCGCCCAATTACTCCCCCATCCAGGATTCATCTAATCCCAGCTACTCGCCGGTCAGGACACCGGAAGATCTTCCTTCCATACCGGAAGAACGAAGACCCATAGAACAAAGCACAGAAACTGAGGCTGGTCCATCCAACCCAGGTCAAGTTCTGGATCCCCCTGAACCAAATTTCTACCCGGAACCAGAGGACCTAGTCTTACCAAGCAGTATCCAACCCCTCGCAGGACTAACAGACGAAGATTTTATCGAGATCTACGAATACTTGCAGCGAGATAATTTCTTCAACAACCGCGAATAATAACCATATCTAGATATCGCCTTAGAAATGCTATAGAGAAGAACATTAACTACATACACACATCTATACGTATAACGATATACACTATCTACAACTGTCAAATAATAACAATAATAACAATAATAAAGAATTTGTAAAGCTCTAAGGAAGTAAACTAATAAAAGAAAACAGATCAAAAAAGGATAAATTGGGTCAGGTTCAACGCACCTAATCTATTTCCCATCGTCAATCCCTCTCCTGAAAGAAGCGCAAAAGATTCTTAGTCTCTCGGCGTCCTAGGGTATAGCCGGCTTGGCAGGTTGCCCTGAAAAAGAAATAGAGAGAAGTTACAATTGCGTAACAAATAAATACGTGAGAAGTTACGATCGAGACGTAACAACGAAATCTCAAAACGTAACACAAGGATACAGACGAGGATACGGGTGAGAGCGGCTGGCTTACTTCAGATAAGTATAAAATTCATAAAATGTTTCGATAGTTAACTTGTAAGCCAGTGCATAAATTCTATTATTTCGACAGATCCTCTAGGAGCGAGTCTTAGATTCTGAGTCTAGTATCGATGTGCAAGACGTCACGTCACAGCGGCACAGGATCCACGGAGAAATTCTTTCAGAGAAGCTCTCCGTGAAAGCGGCAGAGGAGTAGAATTTGCTACTCAATGCACATCGAGTGACTAACTCGAACGACGCTACACTCTAGGATACGCTTCGAGCGTTCTCAGAGGATCGGTTGAAATTTATATAATTCAACTCGAAAGAAAAATTTAAAGTCTGTATACGGGGCAAGTAAGGTTCTGGGAAAATTGTCAATAGGCCTAGAATAAATCGAACTAATATACAAAGTTATTATCAAGGTTGATTAAAAATGATTATTATTTTATTATTTCCTTACCGGATGACGGGATCAATGGATGAATACAGGGCACCGCTGCTCCTTCCCTGGGTTGCTCGACCTCGGTGAGAACCTGAAGAAGTGGCAAGGCAGCGCTGAGAATGGCCAAAGAGTCAGAGGTTGCTGGATGGTAGCACTTTATTAAAGTGTTAATGTTGATACAGCTCTCTTAATAGAGATTGAGACTAAGTCCCGAAAGAAAAAAATCAAAATCGCGACTAAGTTATTTTCGAATAAGTTAAGGTGTCCGGTAGGATTCTAGGTTTTTCCTCTTCGAGAGCTGGAGATCTGATGAGCGTAGAGAGAGCTGAGACACAGGCGAGTTAATGGCTAAAAAGGCCGCGGAGAGCTCCGTAGAGGGGCCTTAAATACCTTCCTCTGGTTCGATGTTTAATGGTAGGGAGAAGAGGTGGGCCTCTTCGGTGATTGGTGGGTCGGCTGCTGGAGCTATCCCTTCCTGCTATGAGTTTGCGATGTGGTGGGTGAGAGTTTTGTGGTAGTGTTACGTCTTACTTCTCCAGTTTTCGGTAACTATTCCCTCACTCTCTGATTCTAGGATCAGACCTGCTGGGCTTACCATACAGATGAGCGAAGTGCGTCTCCCAATTTATCTTTTGAGGCAACCTGCGCAATGCCGGCTATACCTCGGGATCGCCGGGAGCTCTGGACCTAACTGCTTTGATTGGATCGCTGGATTTATCTGCTTTCCGAAGGATTATGCTTGTGGATCGTGCGTGTTAAGAAATAAAGATTCACTTTATTTTAGGAAAAGTACAAATTTATATAGATTTATTTAATATCCTCTAGTACATTTTAATCTTTGGTCTTCTCTCTTTGATCGTTGGTACATATAGCAGATCAGAGAAAGATGAAGCTGTCCAGTATATTAGAGAGAGAAGATCATATAAGGAGACATGTTAATTATATACCATCGCAAATAATTAAAATAGAGTTGCGCAGATGCAGCGGTAAAGTATCGCGCAGATGCGGCAACAGTTCTTGAAATACAAGAAATCAATTGATTTGAATAAAATGTTTCATATAATAAAATAAAATAATTCAAATTAAAATAATTCAAATTGCCAAATGTTCAATTTAATAAAAGATTTTAATTTAATAAATGAATTTAATTATATTATAATAAATTTTATGATGAGTCATACAATGATGAATCATACGAATATAAAATAAAATAAAAATGAGTCATACAATGATGAATCATACGATGATGAGTCATACAGCAGGTGTTCGTTAACAGAATATTTCAATAAATTATATGATGAGTCATACGACGATGAGTCATACAAATATAATTTTAAATAAAATTAATTAATTTGTTAAAATGAAATAAAATAATAGAGTCAATAAAAGTGAATTAATTCATTGGCAGATTGTTTCAATAAGAATATGCGATGTACTATTAAAAGTTGTTCACAAAATGGCGGACTGCCATGAAATATGGTAAAACAAAATGGCAGGTTCCCCAACTCCTTATATATTATACATGAAAAATATATGTGGATTCGTAGAAATTTTCTGGACTTTCGGTAGGTAGGAAAATAGATTGCTTTTTATTTCGTTTATTGTAATGCTGAAGGAATACAGAGGTACTGGAAAATGGAAGGGTAGATACCGTGTCGGCTTGCTTAGCCTTCAATCAAATAGTTAAAATGATTCCTTTAATAATATTCGTTTGAATCTCGCGCCGAGAATCTAGTGATAAAAAGAGACAGACATACTACCATTATATGTGATTTTCATGAATGTACTTAAGGAAGTCTGTTCGGAAATTGAAATCGATTGTAAATTCGTTTTTATAATGAAGCTCTTTAATGAGTCTTCGATAATTTGTATTAATGATTCAATTAATAATAATAATATCTTCGATAAATCTTCGTGTGTGTAATTGCAATATTATTTCAATTGTTTAATTATAATTGCATATAAGCATCTCAAGAGTAGACATAGATGCAATAATTGATCGTAGTAGATCGTAATAAAGAGATAGTAAGTGTAGTAGAATATCGTTGCAAATCACGAGAGTAGAGAAGTATGTAAAATAAAAGAAATAAGTACTTACCAATGAGTACTGCAGAGTAAAGTTGAAGATCTCCAGGGAGGACAGTCTACCTCGGTGACGTCGCTGTAGGAGAGTTGAAGGAGCCGGTGATGAATGACTGGCAGAAGACCCAAGTGATGATAAAATAAAACTTTAATATACTTTGTTCCAAGTACAAAGATTTGACAGTTCTCGGACTAAGTCCTTTTCGGCTCAAAAATAAATACTCGTGACTGCGTGAAGGTTATACGTTGGAAGAACTGAGAGTCAAATGGAGTCAAATGCTCACGTGTGTGAATTTAAGAGAACTAAGAGTCAAATCGAGTCAAATGCGAAGAGAGTCGCTCTGCATGGGTTTTTATAACGGGATTCCTACTTTTTGGGCAATTGTCGCAGAGTGGGAGCAGGTTCCTTTTCGCAGGGCGGAGTCTCTGATGATTGGTTCCCCTCTTAAAATTGGATGCGTGCGCAGCTTTTCATCGGTAGAAGGGTGATGCGTGCGCAATTTTGCGTAGGCGTTTGAACGATGATTGCGTCCCCGTTTTTGGGTCTTGAGGTGGTGGGGGAAGTAGAGTAGCCAATCAGGAAGTAGCAAAAATTCTGATGCAACCGGATGCGGTGAGTCATCGATGAGTCACTTTTGGCAACAATTCTTCTGATACTTGATATTTTTCTTGAAGGTTATCAGTGACATTCGATATTTTTTCGTATAATTTATGTGACAGGTGTCCTTCGATTACAATAGATTTGCGTCGCCAAATTATCGCATCGGCTTATCTTTAAATTATTATAAATTATTTAACTGATGAGCTCATGGTCGAATCTTTGTTATAACAATATGAATATGCGTATTTAGTAACGCATATATAGTATATGTAGACGGCTAAATAAAAGTATCTATAGTATGTGTACGTATAAGAAATATGTTTTACCAACAAGACTTCAAAATTTGTAAGAATAATGGAATTTAACATTTGGACCTCCCTGTAGATTAGGGAGTTCGAAAATATACGGAATTATGTAAAAACATGTGTAAATATTCGGTTGTGGTCCTCAAAATTTGGGTTTAAAGATTTATAATGTATCAGGATAGTATATTCTCATAGGAGGTATATGTCGGTAAGTCGGTAAGTTAGTATGTCGGTAACTTCTGAATTTAAATAAAATTAAAGTATTAGGATAGCATGTATATGAAAGAGGCATGCTCCTAGTGAAAGAATATATATAAATATATATATGTTTGTTGGTTAATATCTTTAAAAATTAAAGTTTTAAAATTTTAAAGTATCAGGGTAGCATATTCATAAAAGAGGTATGCTCCTGGTAGAACGTCGGTAATTGGTAGGTCGGTAAGTCGTTGGGTTGGTAAGTTACCATAAGTCGGTAAGGTAGTAAGGTGTCGGTAACAAAAAATCGGTATGTTACCATAGGTAGGTAAGGTAGAAAAGTGTTTTATCATCAGTCGGTAAGGTAGGAATTTCCTATATTATCATTTATCCTTGGTCGGTAAAGTAGGAATTGACTTTACCATCCCATGTAGAAAGGGTTGAAGTCTTGCAGGCTCTTTAAAAGTATAAGAGGTTACTATTCTGTAGGCGCTGCTTATACTGTATTAAAGGTATAAGTATTTTAGGCGCTTGTATATACGGTATTGATTCTGTAGGCGCTTTAAGAGTATAAACGGCTGCGGTTTTGCAGGCGCTTAATAGAAGGAAGATCAATAAGGCTATTTAATATGAATTATAATGCTTTTCTAGGCAAAAGAATATTGTAATAGCAGTAATTAGAGTGAATTATTTGTATTATAGCGTTTTTGATCCCCTTATAAGAGCTGAAAATAATATAAGATTAGTATTAAGGTATTTAATATAGAATTTTACTGTATGTATATATGATCAACGTTATATAGGCGCATTGAGAGTAAATAGTGTTGAAGTTTTATAGGCGCGTTTCATCTCTTAAGCCATGCAGGCTTATTGCAATTTATATTTTATGAAAAATAAGGCAAGAAGATCAATGTGCTATTTACTATAGAGTTTTAATATGAATTTAAAG